CACCAACATAGGCCAATCAGCTAACCAGTATTTTCGCCCCTTCCCAAAATTACTTCAACAGAAGGTTTCCAGATGGATATGCGGAGCAAATCCATCTGGCGGAGTCAGGTTAAGTCTGATGTGGGTGCTAAAAGATTTCCTTATTTTTGTCAAACTGATGTCAAAGTTTAACTTCACATGATGCTCGACATTCATCATTTTAGCTAAGACAGTGCATCATGTCAGAGTTTTCATAAATTACAACTTTATTCTTGTAATATTACGACTTAATTCTCATATTAGGACTTTATTCCGGAAATGTTGCGACTTAATTCTCGTAATATTATGACTTTATACTTATGATTTTATGACTTTATTCTCGAAAAGAAAAAAATCTCTCACCTGGCCCTAATACTCCATTGCAGAAATGCACTGAATGGGAACTTGATTTATTTAGAACATGAAAACAAAACTTAGTGCTGCTATCGAGGCTCTCTAACCTATAATGTCTGATAGGAGCTCCTCCCATAACCTGCAGGAACATCAATATTGGTATGAATCACTAAGCTAATGATTAGTTACTGGTCTGGGAAGATTTGCTTAATAAATCAGAAATGCTAAAGTTTGTTTGTCTTTAAAAACTTGAACATCCTTTTACCAGGACGTCATCAGGAAACCTATTTTTCCACATTGGCTGCCCCTTTTAATGCGTCTTAGCTGGTTTACCAAACATCAGTAAATACTTGTGGAGCATCTCTTACCTTTTAAACTTCTCTGCTAAATTCTTCACAAATTCAAAGATTTCATCCCAATGGCCGATGACACTGCCAGACCTGTAAGCAAAGGAGAACCCAAAAGACAACTTTAAGGAACATAGCAGACAAGATGATTTCTGTTCATTTCCACTGCCTCGTGTCTTTAAGAACTACCAAAGCTGCGATGGGAACCACAAAAATAGTTAGCTCTAAGCTATCCAACAGGCCGACTGAGCACCACATGGGGAAGCATTCAAACAGGAAAATTACAACTTGGCTGGCCAAGAACATCGGGGGGCTGAAGCCATCCACCGGGCAAAGAACAAGCTGGAAATATGTGAGGAGAAACACAAAAATAAAACCTTTTACTCCTAGTGAAACATTTGTTATGGCGTGTTTCCAGTCATATGAGCAGGAATATTCTGGCTCCAAGCCTGAGGAATCGACTAAGATGAGATCAGCTATTTTTGGAAAATTGACGATCATAAAGGTCAAATACTTCACAGCAAAAACTATTCTAAAATAGTGTATTAACCCTTAATTTGAGCAGGTAAAATATCTGTCAACAGAATAAATGTTTTTTTTTTTTTTTTGCCCTAAAAATATCAGATAATAATTTCAATATTATATACTTCTTATTTTAAACATAAATCCTCCTTTTTCATTGACACACTGTCTTTCTGCTCGCATCAGGGAAAAACAGACTCAGTTCAAAAGAAAACAGATTATATAATTATATAAAATTTTCTGCAGCTTATAGGTTTGTGATGTAGATTTTTGCTACATATATTCCTGCACAGTTTCAGTGAAAATGTGCTTTTATTTTTGAATGGTTAAAAAATACAAAAATAAATGAATATATGAAAATGTTTTCTTTCTTTCTTTTTAAAAAAAAAAAAAAAAAAGAAAGATTCTACGGAAATGTATTGCACTAACCAAAGAAAACAAAACCAGACAGCTTATCTCATAAGTATGAGATCAGTATCTCATAATTTTGAGATATTATCTCGTAATTATGAGATAAGATCTCGTAAGGAAGGAAAGAAATAAAACAAATTAAATCCGTCAACCCACTCATTGTTCATCATGTAGCGTAGCTCAGCAATGACTGATCTCCTAAATATGATATATTATTTTATAATTATGATTTGATCTAGTAATTATGAGATAAAATCTCATAATATTGAGATCAAGATCTCATAATAAGAGATCAGTATCTTGTAATTATGAGATAAGCTGTCAGATTTTTTTTTCTTTGGTGAAAACAGTAAAAAATATATATATATAACCCTAACCGTAAAACACTGTTTACTGTATGAAGCTCTTAGTTATAAAATGTCAAATATGCAGGGGTTTGTAAATAAGCATGTGTCACAAGCAGTTATGTATTTTTGTTCTTATGCTATACTATTCCTGTGCTAGAGGAAGCATCTAGGCTCCTTTTCTTACCTACTTCTTTACCTGCAGCGGTCACCAAGTTTACACCCCCCCCTCATGTCTTCCCTCTTAACCTACTTTCAAATAATAAAGGTCACTAATGCCAATAAATAAAAAAAAACAAAAAAAACATTATTTTTTTTGTTTTGGAAAGAACTGTTTTGTGCTTATAATTATATGTGTGAATGGGTTGCTGTTTAAGAACGCCTGCGGGCAGATTCCCTCCCTCATCCATGGTTTTATAATAGCTCACCACATCAGGTAAATGTTCATAAAAAATATCTGGCATCTTGTGAAGTAAGATAATAAGCATGAACTACATTAGCTGCCAGTAAACAGAGATAAAACAGGCAGCCTGTTGTATCTGACGCCTAATTTAGCGCCTTCCTTTATCCCCAAAAGGCGCCTGGAGGCTGAGTAAACTGGACCCCGTCTCCATGGGGAAGCTCCTATAAAACCGGACTGTTATAAAGCCTCTCCCTATGAGGCAACCTTCATTTCCTCTGTCCAGGCTAACTCTTGGAGGTTGTTGCAGTTTCATTAGCTGAGAGCCTCTTAGGAAAAGGTTTCAGCTTCAATTACAACCAGGACCTGTTGCTAACTAAGAAGATTTAAGTTATAAAATGAATAAAGTGAAAGTTTTAGAAAAGAATGCCACACCAAGAAGCTGTCAGACACTGTGAAGAGCAGCTTTTCTAACATGTTAAGGTGAACTGTAAAACTGCAACCAATTTCAGATAACCAACTTCCAAATGATAAAGTAATCGTAAAAAAATAAGAATATTATAGATAAATTGAGGACTTATTAGGGTGATCTTCTTGGTCATCTGTTTTTTGGCCTAGTTATTGAACCCCCTCTAAAGTTCTTTCAAAAACTACAAGCAGATTAAAGTTCATTTTGGACATTCTGTTTCTCTATATGCAGATGACTTGTTCCTTTTTATTTCAAATCTCCTTATTCTTTTAATCTTTGCCATTCAATGTTCTTACTCCTTTGGTTGCTTTTCATGATTGATTCATTTATTTTTAAGTAAAGGAAGAAAAAAAAAAAATGAAAAAACACCTTTATGACCTCATCGTTGCAAAAGTCAGGAGCCATTTGCCTTCTTTCAAAGTGCCAAACAAGCACAAATTCCAAAAAAGGAAAAAAACAAAAAAAAAAACAATCCAGTGGACTTTGTTTCCTTGTCTTTTCTCCTGTAATTGGGGCTGCGATGATAGCGGGAAGGAATCAGCTCTATCGCTGCTTTGTAGGTTTTTGAAAGCTTAAATCTGACTCCACCTTTCTTATAATGTTGTTATTTCTTTCTTAACATAGAGTACAAATATATCCTCACAGAAAATGTAACAATGAAAGAAAGTCAACATGAGCTTATTGCAACGGTAAGCAATAAATCACAATACACGTATTATATTAGTCAAAATGCGTGTTCTTAATATAATAGCATCAATATAAAGAATGTCCCTACATGTTGGCCTCTCATTGCTTTATTTTTTTCCATTTTAGGAAATTATTTTTTATCACATTTTGCATCTCTAATATCTTACAGCTACAAAATATCTCACTATGGAGTTTTGAATAAATTATATGATTTACATAATAGCCTCAGTTTCAAGAACTTATTGGATTTTTTCATTATTCTTAACCCCTTCAATAACATTTATCCAGATCTAATAGATCTAAGTTTGTATTCGATAGTGTTTAATAAAGGGCTCTGTAGAAACTTCAATAAAATTGGTTTGAAAAATTTTAATAAGACAAATAAATATAATGAATAATTTTTTTGGGGAAAACCAAAACTGAAAATATAGTAAAGTTACTTTCAAAACCTTTTTCTGTTTCATATAATATATTTTTCAAAGTTTTAATTTCTGGATTTCATTTTTTTTTAATTATTTTAATCAACAAAACATGTTTCTTGCTTGCAACAATAACGTAACAACATTGACACCATACCAGGCTGGATGGACACATGTTTTGGTAAAGAAAACCACACTTATGCTGGAAATGTATTCCAAACATAAAAAAGATTTTCACAAAGAAAACATACTTTTTATGAAAGCTCCAGTTTTTTTAACTTATCAAATGCTTAGAAGTCCTGAAAACGAGTGTTTTCACTGTGTCTCTGCTTCCCTGATTACATGAGCTGCTCCCCCACATCAATACCGACATTCCTCTCAGACTGACTGAGCATAGACATGAGCAAGACTTTGCAAGCTTAACAAAACCCTCCACAAATGATAAAAAAAGCATGGGGTACAACTGGAGGTTAGGTTTAGTAAAATGTGCAACGCAAACAGAACTATATACACACACTGACAAGAATAGGCCATCTGAGCTGAAGTAACAGCAGGATCCAGCATCTTGTTCCATCACAGCAACAGAGTAGAGCTCAAAAGATCTGCTGCACAACTAGTAGAGGAATTAAGGATAAGTTCTGAGTATTTTTTTAACACAAGGTTAATCTGAGGACTTTGGTTTTTCTTCTGCTTATCTTTAATTCCCCCACTGTGGTGATTACTGTTTGTTCTGGAAAGGTTTGAGGGTCTGAGGCAGCTTACAGTCGTGGGACTGAAGCTTAGTTTGCAGTTTCACTCACCTGTCCAAACAATGTTAGGAGAGGAAGTGGCTGGTTTTGTTATGTGAGTCTTGATAAAAACCATTAGATTCCGCTAAAATCCCTTGATCTAATTTTAATGAACTGAGCTGAGCCCTAAAGGTTTTGCGGTTTTGAAGATTTAAATGCTGAGAGTTAAAGGTTTTAAGAATCAGCAGCGTCCCAATTTGCCAACTGAACGATTCAAACTTTGTAAGGGCTGAGGTTATGTAAGAGACTTCTTTAAAGACTGGTGACAGCGTGTTTTTTTTTTTCCTTTGGTAGGAACAGAATGGAAAACATATGTCTGCTTGGTACCATTTGGGTTGAGCAAATAAAAAAAACAAAAACAAAGGATGATCAAAGCAAGGATGGAAGAAGTGAGGCTTAATATGCTGGTGGCAGTGAGATAAATCAGCTGTCAGCACTTTTTTCTCCCAAAAGGAACTTCCCAGTGATTCATTGACCATTTCTCTGACAAAGTTAAAACTCTGGTCCACTTCAGTTGTCTAAATTCAATAGGATTGTCCAACACATGAAACTCTGATATATGACTCTATTAACAGCTTTGCTAAAGTACTAACTAAACATTTTTACCAATTAAAACCAGAGGCTTTCAATCAGTTACTAGCTCTGATATTTTGTACTGTATGCTTCCTCTAACGAGCTTTGTCTTTGCAGGAAGGTTCAGGATTTTGACCAATTCCTCTTCCAATTACCCTGACAAATGTACTTGTCAGTAAATTAAAAACATATCCTCACAGCATGACACTATCTTCACTATGGAGATAATGATTCTAGATATGTTGAAGTTAGTGTTCAGCCATAGTCACAGAGGAAAACGTTCTGTTTTGGTCTGAACTGACCAAAATAACTTATTCTCAGACAATCTACCTGATAATTCCGTTGAACATTGTGGGGCCTGGTTCATAAAAAAGATTTGGATCTGATCGACTGAGCAGGATTTGCTGGCTGAATAGATTGGCTGCAGGCTAGAAGGGCTCAGAATAGCTGAACAGGCTGCTGGCAGGCTGAAAAGGCCCA